AGAGCATTGAACTCTGACCTGAATGGGCAGCCAGGCACAGCAGCAGGTCGGCAGAGAGGTTGTACGGGGTGCGTACGGACATATTCGTAATTTGAGCATAATTTATTATTTATGCCACATTTAATATCTTTGTCAGCTCCATGTCTCCTCTCTCCCTATACCTATCCCTATCCCTCTCGCTCTCCCTCTCTCTCACCGACTCAATTAGTGGGCAGCGGTGTAGCTGCCCCCTCAGCTGTCCAATAAACTTCAACTCAAGAACCGAAAACAGAAAATCTTAAAATCCGTAGATGGGATACCCTTCCCGAATCGATTGTTCCTATGGCAGCGTAGCTATTGCTTGCCTCTTCCTCTTTGATCGCAATCATAATGCCTGCCCGCCTGTGGTAGGGTATAGAAACACTCGAGAGGCAAAGCCTAAGACCCAAGGCATGACGAATGATCGTTGAAAGAACTGTAAAGCGCCATAAAGTTTCGGATCTGAGTGGAGTTTTGTGGCCTGGCCTGGCCTGGCTCTCAGTCACAGTCACAGTGCCCCTTACAGGCACGTGCTAATTGCTTACGCATCGGAAGAGAGTAATGAAGAGACAGAGAGGGAGAGAGAGAGCGAAAGAGAGTGAAGAAGAGGGCCCCCCAAAAAAAAGCTTAACAAACGATCGACGTTATGACAGCAGATTAGGCACTGTTTGAGTAGGGTCTGTGGAGGTGGGTGGCTGACGCACGAGAGAAGAAAGAAAAACACAGAGAAATGTGAAGCAAAGAACAAGATAATTGGGGGAGTACAGATGATTATTTTTGGTAAAATTTACTGACCAAACTGACAAGATTTCAAGACGCAGCTAAAGAAAAACAGAAACAGAAAATTTGATATAATATTCTGAATATAATATAATAGATTTTCTATTCAATTGCTCATTTTCCTTGGCTTTTGGCATCATCTTAGTAGACCTCTGGAGGAGACCTTTTTGACCCCCTTCAAGTTCGGAATTATGTCTGTCTGTATGTGTGTACCTTCTGGGCAGAGAGAGACCCCACTCGACGACAGCACTCCGCGCGGGGTGCTTTACGATCGTATTGATGTCAAGTTCTGACAGTAGCCCACTGAATGGGACTTCAGCGGTCCCGTCGAGTGGCCCAAACAAAGCAGGAACACAAACCAAGAGATCTTGGTCAAGCAGTGCCAATGGAACACGGACGCCCCGTTCGATCGTGCCAACAGGTAGGCGTTTCGGCCAAAATACAGGAAAGAGGGCAGCACCCCGCGGCATAGATCCATTCATGAGCCAAGCCAGAGCAGAGCCCCAACGATAGAAACGGCCAAAAGAAAATTATTTAACAGAGAGAATGACGCTGCGGATGACGCTGCGGATCAAGCAGTGTCTGGTAGGAGAGAGAGAGGGATGTAGAGAGAGAGAGCAGCAGCAGTAGCAGCAGCAGCAGCAAGTGTGCGCTGCTGCTGTGTGTGTGTGTGGCTCTGCTCTGGACTGCTCTCACTTTCTTTTGAAACTTGTTATTCGCTTTGGCCGCTGACGAACAGAGTTCATTCACATTTGGCAGCCAGGCAGAAGAGAGAGAGAGAAAGAGCGTGGCAGAGAGTCAACCGCGCGAAATGGGCACAGCTGTTCGTTCCCGAAAGTTGGCTCCCGCTCTCTCCAGCCTGGTTCGAAGTGTGCGCTCCCGCTCTCCCGCCTGGTTCGAAGTTCGCTGCAGAAATGCAGAGTGCAAATTTCCTGTACGCTGCAGAGTGCATTGAACTCTTCGCTGAGCAGGCTCCAGCTGAAATAAAAAAAGGATTTTCTGCACACTTTTAATTGCCAAAGATCTCCTTGAACGCATTTCGACAGCTATGAGGCGACAGCCCCCACCACCACCATCATCCTCCTCATGGGGGCAGGCCACCTGAGGTTTCTGTGTCGTTGACCGACCCTCAGCCACAGCAGCAGCAGCAGCAGAACTAACCAGCGGAGAGAGAGAGAGAACAGAATTTGCATGCAAAATGCATTGAGAGCAGCAGCGCCAGCAAGCAGCACAAACCGAACCCAATAGTTTGCTCTCTCGTTCGTTCGGTTCGCTCAATTGTTCGGCTCGGTGCGGTTCGGTTCGGCTCGGCTCGCGCGCTCGCTCTGGCAGCTCCACATTTGGAGGTAGCTGACCGAAAAGTGGGTCACGACAATGGCGGGGTTCGTTGAACTGAACTGCCAGTCAGCCAGCCAGCCAACCTCTGCCGCAGTCGCTGCTTGCTGGCTGCTGCTGACGTCGTTGGCGTTTTGGGGGCTTTTATTTTGTGTGTTTGTGTGTGTGTGTTTGGTTACGTAGAACATGTGCCAGAGCGAGAGGGGGCGAGTCGTGTACTTTTTGGCCTCAAAAAACGGAACAACAAATATTATTTAATATTTTTGATAGAGATTAAATAATTCACCTACTATGGGGAGGGATGGGGGTCGGGGGGGGGAGTGGCTTCACCACTCCGGGAATAATATTTGCACACTTTATTAATTAGTCGGGGATTGTTGGGCAAAATATGGGTCATTCGATCCAACAATGGGTAGAACCATCTGGAAAGAGTTCTACATAGAAATGAGCTCTCAACTTTGGAGTACTGCTACACCCCGCCCACGCATCTAAGATCCTCTTGGACCTGTCATACTTATAGATGGAGGTCGGTTCCCCCTGCCATCGGCACACACCACCGACACACAATGCCTATATCAATTAATCTTATTTGTCACTCATTTATCAAACACCCCACCAAACAAGGGGGGGGGAGTGTAGGGGGCTCCCCTATTTGTTATCAAACAAAGCGGATCAGTCAGGTGGCAGTGGCAGGAGGCAGTGCTACCTGAGAAATCTGCTGTGGCGCGTAGGTGTTCCAAGAACTATGTACAACATCAACGGGGGCGCCTTCCCCCCCACCACCCACCGCACACGACAAATGCAGCGCTGCTGACAGAGGCCACATCTATTGTTAGCTGCGCTGCGTCGCTGCTGTGTCGCTGGTGCTGCTACTGCTGCTCGGAGTGAATGTCCTCTGTTGGCACACAAAAACAACAAGCAAAACAGAGACAGAGCGGGACAGAGCGGGAGAGAGAGAGAGAGAGCGGGAGAGCGAAAGAAGAGACCCACTGCCAGAGAGACCCACTGTGACGACTCGGCTGCCAGGCGGCACGAAGCTCCAACGAAGTTGTTCGTTTCGGTGTGTGCTTGACGCTTGTCTGTGGCTGGGGCTCCAACGCTGCTTTCATTCGCAAATCGCTCGTCGTCGGCATCGGTTGTGTGGAAAGAGCAGCAAACAAAAAGAAAATAAAAGAAAAGCGCGCGCCAAGAGCAAAAAAAAGAGAATTCAGTTGGAAATTGAGCGCTAAACAAATGTGTGCAACAGCAGCAGATGCCAGCCAATATATAATCACTTATTTTTGTGCGTGCCAGTGAAGTGCAAACCATAGAGAGAGAGAGAGAGAGAGAGAGAGAGTGAGAGAGAGAGAGATCTGAGTGAAGTGAATTATACTGAGAGCAAATGCAATGTTCCTTATTAGCAAATTGTAGATCCGCCAGCAACAGTCGAGAGTTCAAGTGTCATTCGGAAGCCAAGCCAAAAATACGTAAATCTAGACGGGGAAAATGGTTTGTGCAATGCAAGAGATGCAGCAGCAGCAGCAACAGCAGCAACATACACAACAGCAGCAGCAGCATGGCAGCACCACCATAGTGCTGCTCTCGGGCATTGTCCCACTGCAGCAGCAACAGCAGCAACAACAGCAATCGCCCACGCAGCAACATCCCCAGCAACAACAGCAGCAGCAGCAGCAGCAGCAGCAGCAGCAGCATGCCAAGAGCCAACAGCTGAAGCAGCAGCATTCGGCCTTGGTCAAGCTGTTGGAGTCGGCGCCCCTCCAAAAGCAACAGCAACACCAACAGCAGCCACCGCAACGCAAAAGACTGAAAAACGAGGCAGCAATCGTGCCACACCACACACCTGCAGCAACAACAGCAAAGACAACCACCAACAACAATAATAGCAACAACAACAAAAACAACAACCATAGTATTAGTCAGCAGCAGCAGCAGATCGTGTTGCTCCTGCAGCAAACGCAACAGCCAGCAGTGGCAGTGTCAGTGGCAGCCGCAACCACACCAAAGCCCTGTCCAGATCTGAGCGCCAAAAATGACAGCGAATCGGGCATTGACGAGGACTGTCCGAACAGCGATGACGAGCCCCTGCTGAGCACAGGCACTGGGTCTCTGGGTGGGCCACTGCCCGCCGGGGAGGAGGGCTACGAGCAGTATCAGTGTCCCTGGAAGAAGATCCGTTATGCGCGGGAGCTCAAGCAGCGCGAAATGGAACAGCAACAACAGCAGCAAGATCAGCAGAAGGAGAAGCCAGCAGCAGCAGGAGCAGGAGCAGCATCCGCCTCAGCCTCAGCGACTGTTGTCCCGCCGACCGCCAGCAGCAAGCGTCATCCGCTGCACTGTGATAGCCCCTTTTCCGCGCAGACCCACAAGGAGATCGCCAATCTGCTGCGGCAACAGTCACAGCCCCCCCAGCAGCAGCAACATCCTCACCCACAGCAGCAGCAGCAACAGCGCCGCGACAGCTCCGACAGCAACTGTTCGCTGCTGAGCAACTCCAGCAGCACCCATTCCGCCGGCAATGGCTGCACCTGCAGCAGCGACGAGCAGCAGATGGAGGACCTGGAGGCCCAGGATTCGGGCTGCGATGATGAGCTGTGCGAGCAGCACCACCAGCGCCAGGACTTGGACTCGTCACAGCTGAATCTGCTCTGCCAGAAGTTCGACGAGCACCTGGACACGGCCCTGAGCAATGGCAATGCGGGGCGAGTGGCGGCAGCCACAGAAGATGCCGATGTAGGTTTACCGACAGACAGAGGGTATTAGACTTAAGAGGGGGATAACCATAAAAGATTGGCTATTACTTTAAGATTTATCTTTGATTCAAATTTCGACGATTTCTAATGACATTTTATTGCATTTTGCATTTGCAGGGCTTTTTCCGTCGCTCCATTCAGCAGAAGATCCAGTACCGGCCCTGCACCAAGAATCAGCAGTGCAGCATTCTGCGTATCAATCGCAATCGGTGCCAATATTGTCGCCTGAAAAAGTGCATTGCCGTCGGCATGAGCAGAGATGGTAAGTGCCCCCGCCCTACACATTACCTTTTACTCTCCATTTTACATACGATACGGTAGTATTAATTAGTACTACGCTCCACTCCTGTTAAATTACAACGAAGATGCGTAGAGAGAGAGAGGAGAAGATAGAAAGAGAAGAGACAGCGACAGGGACAGGGACAGGGGAGAGAGCAAAAAATTGAGTCAAGCTCAAAAGCAACAGCAACAGCAACAAACGGGCAAACAAATTAGATGCCCCAACGAAGGCAAAGGCAGAGACACGAAGAGTAACGCGAGACACGAGCCGAGCCGAGCCGAGTCGAGTCGAGTCGGGCATAGCTGAGTTCATTGACCAGCCATGAACGAAATTTCAGCTCATGCACACATGCATGAGTGTCTGTACGAGCGAGTGTGTGTGTCTGTAGTGTGTGTATGAATGTATTGCAACATATTGGCCCCACACTACTCATGGATGGTTGTTTGTTGCTGCTTGATTTCACGGCAAAGTAAAAGTTGTGCTGGGCACACAGCGCACAGCACAGCACAACACACACAAACACTTTGTTTAAACAAATTTCCATCCCACATACCCAGCAGTCGATTCCCCCTTGCCCGCAAACCCACCCGCACCCGCATGCATGATAGATTGAGAGCAGCTAGTCAGGCAGGCCAGGCCAGCCAGAAGAGTGTGCGCCATTTCGAAATTGTGCCGAGAGTTGAATGAACGCACTTAACCCAATTCCATGAGCGAGGACAGCCAGCCAGCCAGCCAGCCACCCACCCGCTCTCTAACCATCTCTCTTTCTCTCTCTGTCCTGCTCTGTCCTGCTCTTGCAAGCGTTTGTCAGTTGAGTTTTGTAATAATTTGTTTAAATTAGGCCTGCTGCCCGGAAAATATTTACAGGAAATAGCCAGAGAGAGACCAGCGATTATGAAAGCAGCGTTCGTTCGCGTTCGCGCTCGCTCTCCCGCTCTCTCTCTCTCTATGCCGCTCGCGCGACGTTCATTGACTTCTGCTGCAGCGCAGCGTAACTCTGCTTTCGAAAACGAAAGTGGTTCATGCGATGATGATGCGAGATGCGTGTGCGGTGCGGAGTCGGAGATACAGATAGCTTTAGCTGGAGCTTGTAGCATTGGTAAAAATGTGCGAGCGTGAAAGACGGGCGCGGTCAGAGAGGTTGTGGCTGACGCTGAGGCTGCTTTGTAGGCAGCAAGCGCACGCAGACGCGGCCTTTGTGTAACAGTTATATATTGTCGGTTTTTGGGGCTGCCTTGCCTTGCCATGCCTTGCCTCACTGTGTTGTAATTGATGGATTAGATTTTGGTATTTTGAATGTGGAGCGCGCAATGTGGTGGTGGCCCATTGGGGGAAAGTAAAATTGGTAACGAAAAATCATTTTTTTTTTTTGTAATTCAAAATTTGGGATATTTCTTTGCAAAAACCACCCACATACAGTCTCATTGTAATATTCGTATTTTAATTAATTTCCTAAAATAATTTGAGCTCCCATTAATTTTCCATTTTTAATGGATTATTTTTTTTTTGGTATTTGTTGTCTGTATGTTTTGCTATGGCCGATGGTTTATTAGCTGGCGATGCTTTGTCACCATGAAAATCTCAAATCACCATTCGAAAGGCGATTAGTTTTTTAGCAAATCCTTGAACTAGTTCTAGGCAGGCAGCAAACCAAACCAAACCAAACCACTGACAAACCCGAGTGCCTAGTGCCAAAAATACCATCGCACAAAAATGCGACCGCCAAGCAAACTCGAACTCGGCAACAGGCAATGAAATGAATCGAATCGAATGAAACGAGAGGGGGAAAAAGCAACAAATTTCGAATTGTTTATAATAAAAATGACCGTGTGCTATTTAAGCGACGCCAACTGAGCAGTCAGCGTCAGCGTCGTCGTTCGCCTCGCCTCGCCTCGCATTGCTTGTGCCCCCTTATCTTTCAAGGAAAATTCAAATACAAATTTACCGAAACGAAGCCGTGAACGCTTTTTACAGTTATAAAACCAGCGCAGAGCGCTGACCTAGAAAAAAAAAACATAGCAGCGACGAATTAATATTTTATTTCATTTCATTTAAAAATTATATTTCCCCAAGCGGTCTTGCGGACTGACTGCTTTCACTTTCTGTTCCGAAACGCAACGTAATTGGCGGCCATTTCGAAACACTTTCTTTTTTCGGCTTTCATAATTTCTCGTCCAATAGTAATAGGGTTGGAGAAGGGGGGCCGGGGCCCATTTTGTTTGTGTGCTTTGTCGCTCTTTTTGTTGGATTTTTTCTGTTTTTTTGCTATTGCAAAGACACGAAAATACAACGCAAGAAATGAAAACGAAACCGAAATTTGGAGCGACACCCCCCGAAAAAGCGTCACCCCACGCCCGTCCCTTTTACTAGCCCCACACACTCTGTCGCGGCGACGAGCAGAGTAGTTCAATGACCGCCGTGTCGAGCCGCGCCGCTGACGTGCAACGAAACTGGGTCACCAGCGGCAGCGCTGCCGGGACAGTGAAGGTGGTGGAGACTGTATCTGTGTGTGTGTGTGTCTGCTCTGCTGATAGTAAACAACGAACAATGCACACACACTCAGGGAGCGTACAAATATATCAGTATTTTATTTGTATTTTTTTTTTCGTTTCGTTGTTGCTCATTTTGCATTTGATTTTTGTGGATTTGCTTGGAAATTTATTAGTTCGCTTTGCCGTGGGCAAAATAATGTTGAACTTTTTTTTTACGAAATCTTATTTTATTTTTATTAGTTTTCACATGCACATGCACACACCACACACACACATACAACACATGCTGATTTTTAATTGAAATGAACTTAAATTAGCGCGAGGTTGGAGGCAAATTGAAAGTAAATACATATGCAACACGAGCAACGGCCCGGCCCCGAGACCAGAATCATGGTAGGGAGGAAGGGGGGCTGGGGCGGCGCAGCAACTGGGCTTGGATACGATTAGAATATTCGAATATTCTCGTTCGAAGAACTGAATGGAAAAGGCAGGACAAGCAGAATATGTAGATATGTAGCATTAGTTGTTTTTATGTGCGATTCTTTCCGCTTTTGTTTTGTTTTGTTTTAAACCTGATGTGTTTGGTGTTTTGTTTAAGTATTTATTAATGCTTAAAAAAAACATAAAAAATTAATTAAAAAATTAATTAATTAAAAATAAAACAAAAATGTATACAGAAATAAAAAAAAATACAACAAGTATTTTTTTAGTATGGTATGAGCCCTTTTTGTCCACTTTTACAGTAGCTTATCTATCAATTTATTTCCTTGTGTTAAGTATTTCTTGCAAGTTCCGCCCGGCCTACAACAACTGACATTGTCTTGTATCTGAGATCCAAATCATAGCTAAACAAATATGTAAGCCCATAGATAGCCACACCTACAACAGCAGCAGCAGCAGCAGCTGCAACAGCAACATGCACAAGGAGTGGGGAGGGGGGGGCAGCAGCAATTAGTTGCTTGGGTGTTCCACAAGCACATAAAATAATCAAACAATTGTCAATTATCGAAGGCACAGCATTATTTCTATATAGACACACATACATACATATGTGTGTATGGGAGTGCTGCTGTTGCTGCTGTTGTTGTCGCAATCATTATTATTTTGAGGCTACACACACACACACAAAGAAACAAACATAGACTGAAACAGCAGCAGCAGTGGAGGCAACATGCATGTAGATTTCGCCTTGCCTCGTCCGAGTCGCGGCTGCGAGAGTGTTTTGAACTTTATTCAGGTCAATTACAAATACATTAAAATGCCAGTGCTACACACACACACAACACAGAGTCACACAAACACATGCTTGGGGGCCAAGCTGTTGACTAAAATAATATTGGAGGCTATACGAAAATTTACAATAAAAACGAGAACAAGGAGGAGACTCGTATAGCAAGGCAGTGGGGCAGGGTGGGGGTAATGGTCAGGGGCTGTGGCTGGGGCTGGGGCTGGGAGACTGGGGCAAGGAGTCCAACACTTTGCAACAGTTCAAGGAGCCTCCCTCTCCACCCAGCCCATGAGTGGGAGTGGGAGTGGGTGGTGTGCTTCAAGTACAATATGCTAATGATGATGTTGTTGCTGGATGATGTCGGACGACGATGATGATGAGTGAGTGGGTGGGTTGCTGCTCGAGGCTGTTCCAGTTGGTGAAGGTTTTCTGTGGGGATCCACTTAAAGGTTAAGCAACTGGCAGGGCAGGCTCGGACAGCTACGCTACGCTACCTTGAGGCACACAGTTTATGGTCCCTGAGAGCCTTTGGCTTTTTGTGTGCTCCCTCCTACTAATCCTGCCAGATCATTTCTACCCCCCTCCCACTCATTATTATACAATTATCATTTGCTCCACACTTTTAATCCACTGCGCCTAAGTGAAATCATTTCAAAAAACATAGAAAGAGTGACTGAAAGAGAGAGAGAGAGAGAGAGAGAGAGAAAGATAGAGTGTGGAACAGAGGGAGAAGACTGCATCAACAAATTACTTGAGCAACGGCAGCTGCTCGACAAGTCCACAGAGACCTCTCGATCTCTCTCCTCGCCTGCTGTCGCTTCTTTTTGTTTTTTTTTTTGGTTACATAAAGTTACGCGTGCGTATGCTTTTGTCTGTGTGTGTCAGTGTGTGTGTGTGTGGGACTGCCTTCACCTGCCACCAATTTTAACGGTGAAATTGCAAAAAGAAAAAATGAGCGCCAAGCTAAGCAAGCAAACAGCACCACAAAACGAAGCCAAAAGAGATGCAGAGCAAGGCAGAGAAAAGCAACACAAAGAAAGAAAAGAAAAAGAGTAGCAAACGTAACAAACTTGTTTTACACGACGCTGCTGCTCTGCTGCTGCTGCTGCTGCTGCGACGCTGGCGTCGCCTACTACGCAAGTTGAACCTTCAAAAGGTTCATTTACCTCGTGCCATGGATGCCGAGCGCCAAAAGCCACCGAACGGGCAACGGGCATCGGGCGCCCGACCAAACACGAACCAACGACAGCCAGCAGCAGCGC